AGGGAAAGCAACGCAATTGCTAATGCACTGATTTTTTTTTTTAAGAGTGTCTAGATGAGTTGTGAATGTGGCTTAGGTTCACTAAGAATTTTTTAAAAGTCACGTTCTGACAGTAATGTATTGGGCAACTCCAGTGCTGCTGTTATGTTGATGTAGTTGTATTAAGCAACAGAACAAAGCATCCTGAATGCATGTATGATACATGACTGTATAGAAATCACAAATTAGTATGTAGGTCCAAAGGTTGATTTAATAAAGTTGGTGTTCCTTGAAAAAAATCTTTTCTTGTCTATCTTTAGACCATCATGGCTTTAGTAACATTATTACAGTTAAAAAGCAGATAAAAGGTAATGTTTGTATAACCCAAATCAGTTTTGTAGCTTTTGTTTTAGACAATAAACCCAATAAACAGGTATGTATTTGGCTACTAAGGACAGGAGGGTTAGAAGCAGCAGTCAAATCCAAGTTGGTATTCTGCAGCCATCTGCAGGAACACTAATAAAATCTGCCAGGTAACTGCTGAGCCTGTTACCATTGTGGGCTTAATGCCTGTTAGTCAGCTGGGCATTAAAGAGCAATTTAACATTCAAAAGAGTAATTACAGCTGTTCAGAACTGCGAGGCTTAGATGTGGGTGATTCTGTGCAGGTCTCGGAGCTGCCGAGGAGTTGGCCCAATCTAAGTTTGGCAGGGACAGGGTGTTGTGCAGCGAGCGTGGGTGGGCGGGCGGGCATCTGGTGGCCATTCTGGAGAGCGGAAGAGAGATTAACCCTGGGAGAAGGAGGTGGAGGCCCTGGGGCAGCGTGCGTGCAGGCAACTTGGTTGTGCTGTTCGGCAGTCAGTGAATCCTTCTGGATTAGCGGGGAGGATGGTGCAGAACTTGCCCAAGAGCTCTGCAGTGCTGGCGGGTGAGTCAGCATCCGTCAGTCTTCTGTCCCAGCTCTGCCCAGCTTCTCACTGAGCAGTAGACAGGTAATTTGGAAAGTATAGGAAGGATAAAAGGAAAATAAACCTATCCTGAAGCTGAGTTGTCAGTTAAATCCTTCAGTCATTATTTAATGAGCAGTTGCACTAGAGTCAACGGGACAATCAGGCTGCCTGTCTCATCAGACATCTTATTTTAAGACTGTGCAGCAGCAGTGGAGCATCTGGGATGCTGTTTTTTCACAGAGGTGATGATCTCTGTGTATGAAGCAAAACTGATGTAGCAAGTGATGTGAATTAATATCCAGCCCAAAGACAGCTATGTTAAAAGTGATTTGAAGTCTAAGAAAATCTCACACCTTAATGCAATTTCTTTTCCAGTAAGGTGTGTGTGCTCTTACTGGTTTTCTAAAGGAAGAGAGGTGTCTTTATGGATCCCATAACTACTTGAGAAAGGAGAAATGAGAATTTTTATTATTGTTCCATAGTGGTATAGGTAGAAGAGTCTGGAAGTTGTATAGAGATAATAAGACAAGCATCAGGGATGAATCTCATTTGTTACAATAGGTGTTTTCCAGAGCATCTTTGGGAGGATGCAGATTACTGTATTTTTCCATGTTACTCAATAACCTTGCTCTAATATCCTCTTGGAGGATATTGGAGATTTTTATCTTCTGAAGCACACTTAAAGTAGGGGGAAAATGAGATGACCGGTTCAGTGGATTAAACATTAGAACACATCTCTTAATCTGGAAAGACCTTGTACTTTGTGCAGCAAACTTTGCTCTTCGTATTCTATAAAGCAAATCGCTGTGGTGTCTGGAGTAGCTAACTGCTGCTCCCTAGAGCCGAGTCAGGAAAAAACCTTCCATCGTGGGAAATCAGGTGTCGAGCAAGAACCAGCCATAATGTCTTTTCTCCTCTCTTCAGTGAAAGGATGCTTTCTTATGATACGAATGTGCTACATGGTTGGGACTGGTAAGATTGCAATGTCATACTTAAATCAAACATAGACGTTAAAGATTCCCAGCCTACAAAATACTAATCTTATATCCATTATCATAATCCGCAAAGATGAAAGCAGCTTTAGTCTAGTCTCCCGTATGTAAACAGAGCCCCTAGAGGAGCAAGCTCTGTTTTTCCAATCCTCAGAAAAGAAGTTACGTTCTCAATCAAGAAAGAATTTTGCTTTATAAAAGCAGATAATAACAGATTCAAAGACTTATTTAACAAAAACCAACTCTCATCAATTGGCACAGCTGCTGCTTTAATCTGGTTTCTCATTTTTCTTCCTTGTGCAGAAAATGTAATCTCCCTCCTGTATCCTTGTTTGTACACATCACCCCTTGTTCCTTAAAAAAAAGTCTTAATCTAGGACCGTTGATGGGAATTAGGGGTGTGATGTTCTCAATTCAAAGGTGAGTAGCCTGAAAACGCAGGGAGACTCTTAAGAATAGCACGATCAGAGGAGAGGTTTAAGCCTGTCTCTACCTTTTTGACAAGCACGGGTGCCAGAGCTCGCCCCGGGCAGCACGAGCGCCTGGGAAGCTGCTAAGGGAGGAATAACTCGCCCAGAGAATTTTCCCTACCTCTTTAATTTGCTGGCTCATGCCCTCGAGCAGGACTTTTACCAGGGATGCTCTTTGATCCTAACATCTGCATTCTTCTTATCCAAATCAATGTTTCTTCCCTTTTGGTTGGTCTTTGAAGGCATTTCTGTGCTGGCTGACAGATTGTGGCTGTCTGATCCCTCTGAAACTGTCACAGGATGTTTGAACAGCTAATAAACAAAGGGGAGAGCCTTACCAGAATTCACAAAGGCAGCAAAGCTCTGATGTGCCACCAAGTTCAAAGGAGCTTTAGAGCTCACTGATGAGCTGTAGTGGTCGAAAGCCTTCTGTGGGACATAAGAAGGGGCGAATTTAGGCTCACTACTGCCCAGCTGCTAGCCTCAGAGACATATCTCTCTGAAAGCACGGGGCAGGCCTTTCAGCTCTCGGGAGAGTACAGTTTGACAAGGTGCTGCAGCTCTGTGGCGTAGCCTGTGATCGGGCAGCGCTGGTGAGTCTTCACGTAACTGTACACACAGCGGTAGCAAAACACAAAGCCGGACGTGGACAGGGCTGTGGCGTTGACGCGGATTTTGCGGCACAGAGGGCACACCGTCTTCAGTTTGGGTAAGAGAGCTGAGCCGGCCCCATGGTCGAGGTGCACGGGGGGTGGAGGAGTCGGGAGCGCTGTCAGAGATTTGATCGTCTCTTGGTTTTCTGAGGAGTACCACCAGTCCAGGAACTGGAGGAAGAACACACTGATGGACAGCCCGGTGGACAGGGAGAAGGCAATGCCACCCAACGCTTTCCTCGCTACTGACTGCACTTGTGTTTTAATGCTGTAGCAGAGAGAGAAGGTATGGAGAAATTGTTACTACTGCACATTTGTCCGTCTGTAAACCACGGCAAAAAGGACTTGGGGAGTAAGTCACTGCTTTATACAGCTTCTTAATGCTAAGGAAGTTGGTCAATGTATCCCGTGTTTGTTGTGAGGCATCTGCTAGGACGTTTCTCCCAAATTTTTTGTATTTTAACAAAGCTTCAACCCCCGTTTTGTTCAGAAGTCTAAATTGGAAGAGTTTGGATTGAGGGGACCTGGACCACAGCACATTTCACTCATGGATCATCATTTTACAGGACATTAAGTGTGGTCATGACTAGCTGCTGCTTGGAACAATCAAAGAGCTAAGTTTCAGTCCTTTTAGCAATATTCTTGCAGTCTACTTCCCTTGTTAGAAAAGTGCAGGTGAAGACTGAACCGGATAAAGGCTGGAATGCCACCCCCCCCC